TGATGATGATGATGATGATGATGATGATGATGATGATGATGATGATGATGATGATGATGATGATGATGATGATGATGATGATGGTGATGGTGATGATGATGATGATGATGGTGATGGTGATGGTAAAAAGGTACTCTCTCTCTCCGATGCGTATGTATAAAAGAAAGAAAAAAGATGATTATGAAATTAGATAATCAAAAAAAAAAATAACTATAGATCGTAAATTAAAAGATTGATTTTATAGGTATATATTATTATTATTATTATTATTATTATTATTATTATTATTATTATTATTATTATTATTTTTTTTTTTATTATTATTATTATTATTATTATTATTATTATTTTTTTTTTTATTATTATTATTATTATTATTATTATTATTATTTTTATTATTATTATTATTATTATTATTATTATTATTATTGTAAGTAAGAGATAAAGAGGGAAAAAATGGAAAAAAAATTATAATAATACAAATAGGTAGATGATCGGAAAAAGGGTTTAAAAGAAAGAAAGAAAGGGAGAGAGATAGAAGACAGTGTTGATTTTTATCGTTTGATGGTTGAGATAGAAAAAAAATTAAAAACAAGGACAAAACGAGAGTTCGGAGGGTGCGTATTTGTGTTCGTGATTGTACGTGTATTTATATATACTCTAATATATGCGTTAGGGGAAAAAAGCGAGAGTGTATTATATCGATAATTTCTATGTCATTCCGGGGTGAAACACAAAGCTTGCGAGATGATTTATTGATCAGGATTAATGAAATAAGACAGTGAAAGGGTGAGTGAGAAAAAGAAGGGGGTCTTAATAGGAGTGAAAATAAAAGGATTGCTTGTGGAAGAATGAGAAAGATAGAGTGTGAGAGAGAGAGAGAGAGAAAGATAAAAAGATAATCAATGGAAAAAATCTCGTTGATAATTGTATCAGTAATTATTTCAGTAGATTAACATAAGTCAAAAATTTTGAAAACATTTATTTGATGATTTTTAATATATTGTTATAATTACGAGCATAATTATTATTTTTTATTTCATTTTTTCTTTTCCTTTTTTTTTAAATTTCTAGATTGTGTAAATAAAATGACAAAAGTTTGAAAGATTGATTTTTCATCGAAAATCAATTAAAATGAAATGAATTGTTTGACATTAATAGTATACGTTTTCTGCGTGCATGTTACAACATTAACGTAACAAAAATACATATATTGATAATTGTGACAGTGATCGTGGCAGTGAGCTAAGTTACAAAATTGAATTAATTAATTTTATGATCTATTTCATATTTAAATTACTTTGATTACAAAATAAATTAAACAAATTTTAGGACTTACAATTAGTCCATTGTCATAATTATCGATATATATACCTATTTGTATGAATATTAATATGTTTAACTGTAAATAAGACATTTATTTCATTAAGATAAATTACTATTACTTTAAATCAACACGATAAAGATAGAAAAATGGGTGATTTTGTATTAAAGTCCTCCCCGTGTTTATGAGAATAAGAGAGAGATTGTCGTGCATTATCAATGTGATAACGATGAAAAAAAAAACAAGCGAAAGATAAAAATAAATCTTGTGTGAGAGAGAGAGAAAGAGAAAGAGATAATTCTTTATTTTTCTACATTCCTATTAAAAAAATATCGAATTTTTAACAATAAAAATAAACTCAATTATTTGATTTTAAAAAAAGAAATTCTTTTTCACTTTTCTTTTTTACAAATAAGGAAAGAATAATAAAATACAAACAATTTATTTATTCATTTACATTTCTTTTAAAAATATATCAAAATTTTAACAATGAAAATAAACTTCGATTATTTGGTTTTAATATAATCAAATATTCAAGTAATAATTAAAATAAAAAACAAAATTAAAGAAATGCTTTCTCTCTCTCTTTCTCTTTTTTTTTTTATAAAGAAGGAAAGAAGATTATAGGTTGCGTAACTTACACACATACCAGATCGTAATTATTTAACCCATTATCCGGTATATTAAATAACATTCCGGATTCATGATAATTAAGTCGAGCAAATACGCGCGCGAACACACACATAACCATCGTGATATGTATATACTTACAAAATTTAAATCTATTAAAACATAATATTTAAAGTACAAAAAATATCATACGAAGTGAACATACGTGGGTCCGTGTGTGTATAAGCGAATTATACATGCACGGAGACATCCTGAGTTATATATATACATATCCGGATCTTTACGCACTCAAAAACATTCTCTCTCTTTTTCACTCACAGACCCTCCTCTATTACTTTTTTTCACTCACTACTGTTTCTCTCTTTTTCTTCTTAAAGCGTATGCTCACTTATGTGTTACGTTTCAGTTTCTAAGTACGTATGTATGTATGTATGTAAGTATGTAATAATGTTTGTTTGTATGTATTGTATATATGTAAGTATGTATTAATGTTTGTATGTATATATGTATCTACTGGTGACCCCGTTAGTTAGCAACTGGCCTAGCAATGTTGCTGACTCCTTCGTTCATTCGTTCTTTCGTTTTTTAACTCACTCACTCTTCCTTTCAGTCTCTAAGCGAAAGTAAAGGCCTCGCGTAAAAAAAGTTTCTCAAACTGGTTTTTCTAGTATATGTTAAATGCTTAAAGGAAAGAAGTTTCAAATTATATATATATATATATATTATGATATTAGGATACTATGATATATATATAATGAATTTACATTATCGTATTCTTCATATAATACATGCATACGTATATTAACATAATATATGTACTTACATATATGTATATACGTGTAATCTGCGTTAATATTTTTTTGTTATTACTATCATCATATGTAAGCATGCATATTAGCATGAGATACGATTTACATTGTTCATTTAAAAAAGTAAAAGATCATTGTCGTGATATGTTTTATATATGCTGCTGATAATTATGACAGTCGTGGACTATAAGAAAAAATTGTAAAAATTTAATTTTATGATTTATTTTGTAATTTAGAATATTAGAATTAATAATTTAGAAATATATTTAGTATAAAATAAACTATGAAATATTGATTTTTACAATTTTTTTTAATTTAGTTCACCATTTTCATAATTATAGACACATATATTTGTTGTGTACTAATATATATATCTCTTTCTTTCTTCTCGATTTGAAATTTATATTCCTTTTCTCTCCTGCTTATGTATTTATGTATATACGAATCGTTTATTTCGAAAGTGGCCTACAATTCTATTTTAATATATTTTTTTTGTTGATTGTAATAACATCTATAATTAATTAAGTTAACTGTCATGAAAAATATTTCACGAAAAAAATAAAAAAAAAAACTTAGGTCACTATTAAAATAAGTATTAATTAATTAATTCAAAGAAGAAAAGAATGAAAAAGTAATAAAAAAATGAAAATATAAGATTTTCTTTTTTATTAAGAATTATGAATTAGAAATATGTTTGATTTGTTTTATTTTTGTTCTAATTATTAATTAGGCTGTGCTTCTCAAAATCAATGCTTTTTTATTTTTATTTTCATTTTTTTTTTTCGAAGCAACGTGTGTTGGGTATAAATACGAAAGCTATTGTGATAGGGGTGGGGGTAGGTCGGGAGGGGTTTGCTCGATACAATGATAAAATGATGCGTGACGGTTTTTATTCCGAAGTATTTTTTATGTGGCTAAATATACACAGAGAGAATTAAAAATAATAAATAAATTATAGAAGACAAATAAAAAATAATAATAATTATGAAACGTCACGAACCAAAGAGAAAAAAAAATAATAACCACGC